AAAAAAAAAAAAAAAGAAAAAAAAAAAGAAATCAGAGTGAAGGATCATTTTGGCCATTTTTCTTCTTGCTAAGTAAAAGATGCAGACAGTGTTGGAAGTCACAGGTGAGTGTCCCCTCTGATTGTTTTTGATCTGCTTCATTGAGAGACTTCTAAACCCGGACTGTTGTTTTAAGAACACAGAACTCTGTGTCCTATGATTTTTTTTTTCTTTCATTTTACAAACCACCTGCACGTAAACATTTTAAGCCTATGTTCCAGGCACTGGGGAGTGAAGGAAGCACTATTGGTAATTTCGCCCACGAGGCAGGTGAACGAGGACTGCCTTGGCCCAGGATGGGTGGTCACTCTAACCCTAGCACACCTGCCCTGCCAGCCCCATGTATCGGCTCCATGAGCTCTGCTGCCTGCCTGTCTGCTCCTCCGCTGTGTGCCCAGTCCCTGCTGCTCCACCGTGAACTCCTGCACAGCCCTGAGCAGGCTGCCTCTCCTCTGTGTGCATGGAAATAATTTTTCCTTTAGAGGGTGTATGAGTATTAAATTGGATGATTGGAAAAGCACTGGCCTGTTGTATGTAGTTGATAAATTATTTAATTTCTTTTTTCTCCACCTAACCTCTCTTTGATTTCATTTGATTTTTTTAACAGCTTTATTGAGATAAAATTCACATATCATAGTTCACCGATTTAAAGTGTACAATTCTATGGGTTTTAGTATATTCACAGAGTTGTGCTTCCATCACCACGGTCAATTCCAGACCATTTCATGGCCCCAAAGAAACCCTGTACCCTTCAGCTACCCGACGGACCAAACAACAGCTAATCTACTTTCTGTGTCTATAGATTTCCCTATTCTGGACATTTCATATGGATGGACTCATATAATATGGGGTTCCCTTGACTTTAAAACGAGGGGCTCCTAAAAGGCCAGAGGTGAAAGGAGGCTTCATAGGAAGTGGTTGATTTAGTGTCTCCGTTCATGGAAGAGGAGCCGACTGGGGCTGTATGCCCTGGTGTTGGTCATTAATGTCACTGTGTGATGGTGGATTCTTTCTGGGAAAGGGAGAGGAGAGAGGTAGCAGTCACCAAATGAGGGTGCAGAGAATGTTCCATGAATAGTCTTGACTAAAGGCTGTTCACCCAGAGAAATTACCTCATGGGATGGGCAAAGAGCAGTAGAGTGAATCTCTTGCTATCCTTTGCACCCATTTCTAGAGAGCAGGAAGCCCCAAACCAAACCCGTCCTTCCCCACCATGCCTGAGTGGACTCGGTGACCTCCTGGGTTCTTCCAGAAGAGTGCTGTGATGCCGCCTCCTGAAAAGTTCCGGTGGTTAAACGGGACAGCTGATGGCCTGTGGCACCCCTACAGGCTGTTGGTGTAGTGTCTGTCTCCTATTTCTTAACAGTCATTAAGTATGAATGACGTCACAACAGATATATGGATGTTAAGATGAGAAGCAGAGACAGTGGTAGATAGAAAATTGCCCTGGTGTGTGTTCTAGCTTGGGTTGGACAAACTGCCAAGTTTGTGACATGAAAATACATCTACTCTTTTTTCTATTGCTGGGATATGAAAGACAAAAACAGATTGTAAATGAAAATATCCTGAGCTTCTGAAATAATAAGGGTAGAATATAATCTAGGTGAATATTCTGGCGAGTGGAAGAATAACATGCGGTTTCATACTTTTGGATATGGATTTCCTTGGCCTAACGTGCTAAGTGATAATTGTGATCCTGGATGGCTAGAGAAAACACATTCCAAGACTTTCACATTTCCTTGTTGGGCGCTGCTTTTTCTGACTCATAGTCGGTTGTTGGAACAGGGTCTTTGCTGCGAAAACCAATATTCACAAACTTCTGCTTGTACTCAAGTAGGGAGGTGATAACAAGAAGAGTATCAAGGGCTTCATCTTAAGGTAATTATTTCAAAACTTCAAATGGAGGCATATGTTTCCTTATTTGCTCATGCCCAGGCCCTGCCTGGTATGAAGTCTCATCCTCCCCTCACATTGTTTCATTATAGGGAGACAGATTTATAAAAATGTTTATCCCAGTTCGCATCCTAATGGCTCTGCAAGTGCTAGTCTGTGCTCTTTCTCAGGAGGATGTCTGATTAAAGCATCCTCAAGTGACCTCAGAGATTAGAGAGGCCGTTAATTGTTTCAGAATTCTGTTTCAGCCCACTCTATCCATCCTGATTGGCTGGGGTATGCTCTGGTTTAAAATTCTGCCAGATTCCAGTCAATGAAAGGAGCAAGGATTTACTTATTGCCTGCACTGAAGATCTGTTGTGAATTGGCTTTGGGTCTGTTCCATGATTTCCTCAACCTGGAATCCAGTCCCATGGGGAACGTTGGCTGTCACGTGGCAGAGGAAGGGAATAGTGTGTCAGAGCCTCTGCATGGAAGAGATGTCACTTCGCTGACGTCATCAGCCAACACTAGGCACATAGCCACATGGCATTCCTGTGGACAAGGAATCGAACCACGTGCTCAGAAAGAAATGTTTGCAGATATTTCTGGATAGCTTTATATGACCCCCATCCTTCACTCCCTTCTGTCTTAGTCTTTCCATGTACATACTTATGATGATCTGGTTATTTACCTTTTTCTTAGAAATATGATAAAGCCATCTATTGGAGGGCCATGACACATCAGACAGTATTTATTTTGCATGCTCTGTTTCAAAAAGTCTTTCTATGATATTGAAGAAATTTTTTGAGAAAATTTTGGAATGCTAACTTGATTTAGAATTTGGAGAAATTTAGAGGGAGCTTTTATGCAGGAGAAATCCTAGCAGGAAAAGAAAGAAGGGATTTTCTCTTCCCATCTTGGGTAAACAAACCCACTTATCCCCTTTTCCTGTGTGTGTGAAATCCGATCAGTAAGGTACACTTCCTTCCTCTCCTTATCTGGGAAGTAGTTAACATGCTTCTCTAGCCTAATATCTGACTTATTTTATGAGGAGGTGATATCAGGGTTCCATGGAAATGCATGATGATAGAAGTTAGCATTACTATCTAGAGATTATGGGTAAATCCCTTAATGTCCTTAAATGTCTGTCTCTTCAACAAGAAAGGTTTGGATTAGGTCATGTGGGAGGATGCTCACAACTCTAACCATGTGTTCAGGACGACGCAAATTTCTACTACTCACTTCATTACTTCTCTTTCCTAGGGATCATGGCCCAAGTAGCAATGTCTGCCCTGCCTGTTGAAGATGAGGAGTCCTCAGAGAGCAGGATGGTGGTGACGTTCCTTGTGTCTGCCCTCGAGTCCATGGTGAGACAGTCTGCAGTTCTGTACTGTGTTTGCAGATGGATCACTGTCAAAGTAGCAGAACTGTGAGACACTGCACTGTCATTTTTGACGTTCGCCTTCAGTTTTACATTCAGTATTCCTCGTAGAGGTAATGAGCTTGTCAGGTAACGAAAAAAAATTTTTTGTTACGTTACGGATGTAATTCGATCAATATGAGATTCCCAGGTCTGAAAATTTAATGAAGGCACCTCTTACCTTGAGAATAATTTTTGTCTAAATTCACAGATAAAGTAATCATCCATTGACATGCATCTGTTGACCTCCAATATGTAAAATTTGCCTATGAGTGAAAATTGGATGAGAAATTTACATAACCTCAACGTATCTGATGACAAGATGCTTATTGATTAAAAAGAGCAAATCAGTAACCTTATGAAAGTGGAGAAACTGGAGAGACATCCCACTAGTCAAGTGATCAAAGTGGCCATGAGCAGGAATGGGGCAGACCGACGTCATGGGCTTCCCAATCCGATGCACGGAGGAGGAGCATTAGCAGCACTCCTGGCAGCCCCTGCCAGCCACGCGTAGCCCGAATCTAGTCAGGGGACATTGGACAAGCCCAGGTTAAGGGGTATTCACGATTTCTATGCTGGACTTTTAATAAAAATGTTAGTGTCATGAAAGACAAAGACTGGAGAACTGCTCCAGTTGGGAGATATGATGTCACATGGAAAGTGTGACCCTGGGTTGGATCCTTGACCAGAAAAAAATAGATTTATTTTTATTTTCATTTTATTTATGTTATATTTATTTCTATTTTTCAACAAAGAACATCATTGAGTCAACTGGCACAATACCACACATACACATAAGTCACTCACATACACACATGCATGTCCACACATGCACATACACACCTAGACCCATTATTTTACGGTCTAGAAAACCAAATGTAGAGAAATGTTGAAAGCAACCTGTGGTAAACTCACTAATGGCCCGCAAGATTAAATTTCTCCTCCTGAAGCCTGTGAACATTACCTAATATTGCAAAGGGAACTTTACAGATGTGATTAAGTTAAAGATCTTGAGATTATCCTGGATTATTTTAGGGTAAATAAAACTGTTCTTTAAAAATCCTTTAGTAAATTTTAATATGAGTCAGGATCTAGTTGAAGAGAACTAGAAATATTTTACTCAAGAACTGACCACACTCCTTCATTTGACCAGCACTGTGATGTGCCTCCTGCATCTGGCTCCCTTCAAGGAACTGGGGCCACAAGACTGAGTAGATAGATAAAGTCTTCCTCATATAGATCTCATGTTCTATTTGAGGAGAGAGACAATAAACTCTATATGTGTTTCTGTCAGTAAATATAATAAATAAAATACCATAAAGAAAAGGAGGGTCAAGAAACAAATGTAGATAAGAGAAGGAGAGGTTGGGATGGGACAGTGAGAGAAATTCCCTGGGGAGTTAATTGCCTTTTATGCAAAGACCAGAATGAAGTCAGCAAGTGAGTTAGGCCAGTATCCAACGACAGTGTTCATGAGATCACCCTGCGCAAGGACCCTCCCTAGGCTGGGCAAATCGAGAAGTCCAGTAACCCTGGAGCAGAGTGAACAAAGGAGAAGTGGTCGGAGGTAAGGCTCAGAGGCACCTTGTGGCCGGAGCCTGTAGAGCTCCAGACCTTTCTCCTTGGTGTGGCGAGAAGCCATCGGAAGGTTTTGAGTGATGGAGTGATGGGGGGTGGGTGATGGCTGTGTGAGCAGTCACTTAACATGAGCAGTAGCAGGAGCAGGGAGACCAGTTAGCCGTCTGCGACTGTGGGTCAGCCAGCATATTTCAGTGGCCTGGACTAGGGTGGGAACAGTGGAACCAGAACCATCTGCTGAAGATAGCATTGACGGGACTTACTCGAGGGTTGGGTGTGAGCTATGAAGTTTCCTTGTGGGCAAATCAAGAGTTGTTGTTTGTTTTTCAAAATTATATTAACATATATGGATATAGATCATAAAACTTAACTGCTTTAACCACTCTGAAGTGCACAGGGCAGGGCCATTATGTACATTCATGTTGGTGTGTGACCATCACCACCGTCCACCTCCAGAACCTTTTCATCCTCCTAAACTGAAACTGCATCAACACTCACTCCCCATTCATGCCTCCCCAGGGTGTCTGGAAATCAAGGAGGTTTTCTTTTAATAATAAATTCTTATTTAGGATACTTCCAAGATTTACAGAATATCTGCAGATAGTGCAGAGAATTTCCAAATATTCCTCACCCGCCACTCAGATCACTGTGGCACATTTAACATAATTATGGTGCACTTGTCAAATTTAATAGATTGATACTGGTACATTATTATTAACCAAGTCCAGACTGTACTTGGATTTCACCGGTTTTTCTACCTGCCTCTTTTTTTTGTTTCGGGCCCACCCAGGGGTCCCATGTTGCTTTGCGTGTCCTGTCTCCTTAGGCTCCTCTGCTCTGTGACAGTTTGTCAGGCTCCCCTTGTTTTTCATGACCTTGACAGTTTCTGAAGAATACTAGAAAGGTATCTTATCAAGTGTGCATCAATTCGGGCTTTTCTGATGTTTCCCTCCTGTGTAGATGGGTTTTGGAAAGAAGACCACACAGGTAAGGTGCTTCTCTCACCACACTGTACCAAGCGCACAACCCCATCGTGGCTGGTCGCAGTGGTCAAGGTGGTGTGATGCCTGACTTTGTGTCATCCTGGCCGCCACAGGATGCCCATGTTAGCTAGCTGAATGATATTCCTGGGTGTGCCTGTAAAAGTGTTTTGGGAAGAGATTAGCATTTGAACTGGGGGACTGAGGAAAGCAGGTGGCCCTCTCCATGTGGGTGGCCTTCATCCAATCTGTTCTGCCCGAACAGAACAAAAAGGTAGAGGAAAGGTTGAATTCCCTCACTGCCTGACTGCGTAGCTGGGTCGTCGTTCCTGTCGTTGGTCCTGTCCTGCCCTTGGCACTTCTGGTTCTCAAGCCTTTGAACTGCACCATCAGCTCTCCTGGGCCTCTGACAGATTAGGAACAGATCATGGGACTTCTCAGCCCGCAGAATCGATTGAGCCAGTTCATAATGAGCCTCATCTTATACATCTGTAATCTCCAATTAGTCCCATTTCTCTGGAGAACCCTGACTCATACAGGCAGTGTTTTTCACATTTCTCAATTGTTAAATTACTGTTTTCCCCTCTCCATGCCCTGTTCTTGGGAAGTGAGTCACCAAGCCGAGCCCACAAGCAGCGATTCTCTGCACTGTAGTGGGAAGGAGCCATGGCCTCTTGCAGTGCTGGTAGGAGCATGAGTCCCACCAGCTGTTTATAATGTGTTTCAAGAACCTTAAAGGAAAATTTACACCCTTTAACTCAGGAGTTCCGTGTGTATGATTCCATCCCATGGAAATAACCGAAGATGCACAGAAATGTTTATGTTCTTGGATGTTTATTGTAGTGTTACTGTAATTGGGAAAAAACTTTTCAGTGATGTTATAGGTAAGCTGTGACATACATATTGGACAGAATACTGTATGTTCATTCAAAAATGTTTTCTAGGATTGTAAATCTCAACAATAAGCAAATAAAGCAGAATGCCAACCCATATACAGTAGTGAAATTCTAGTTTTGTTTGTAAAAATTATGTGTGTGTGTGTGTTTCAAAATGTGAATAGTGGATAATTCTGTGTAATGGGTCATAGGTGATTTCTTTTCTCTTCGGTGTACTTTTCTGTATCTGCTAAAATGTTTATAATATACATGTTTTATACTGAGAGAAAATGCTTTTAAAAAGATCTCTTCTACCAGTGATGATGAAGTAAGGCTAAAAATCAATAATTTCACCTGATACCATATACTGTATTTTAGATTGTGTTGAATTTTTTATTCACTTGACACAGAGATTTACCGTAACACTAATGGAGCTTAAGCTTCTGGGCTCTCGCCTTGCCCTGGCCCCTTCCACGGCCTTGGAAGAGTCCTAGAAATATGTGCATGTAAGTTTTTGTAAAATTTGCTAAAGTAAGATATTTTAGCCACATCAGTTGAGGTCGCTGTCTCCCACTCTACTTTCTCTCTGCCACAAGCCCTGTATTAGTTTCCTCTTGCTCCTATAACAAATTACACAAACTTAGTGGTTTTAAACAACACTCATTTATTATGTCAGTTCTGGAAGTTGGAAGACAGAAGATGGGTCACAAGGCTGAAATTAAGGTGTCAGCAGGGCTGGTTCGTTCCAGAGGCTCCCAGGGAGAATCTGTGCCCTGCCTTCTTCAGCTTCTGAAGGCTACCTACATTCCTTGACCTATGGCCCCTTCCAAGTCCACCCTCTGATTCCATTGTGATGTCCCCTTCTCCTGCCTCCCTCTTTTCTTATAAGGGATGTCACCCCATGATGACATGAGACCCCTCTCGATGATCTAAGACCATCTCCCATCTCAAGATCCTAAGTATTATCCCACTGGCAAAGCCCCTTTTGCCACGTAAGGCAAAGTTCACAAACTCTGGGGATTAAGACACAGACGTCTTCAGGGGGCGATTCTTCTGCCTCCCATAATCCCCTTCGTCAGGGGGTGCTGTAGACATGGGCATCTTTGAGGTCTCAATAAGGGGAAGCTGGGTTGGGGAAATATTTAGTTTGAGCTTAGTGGTATTATGGGCTTACTGTTATTTCTGTGTCTGGCTAAGTTACTGCTACACATTGAGTGTGGGAATGGTTTCCAGAAACATTCCTGCAGGGCAAAGCCTGAGGTCATATTATGGTGTGAATACATGCTCAGCTTCAGAAGTATGTGGGTTGTAGAGGAAAAACAAAGTTTAAAGTATACAGAGGCAGAAGTGAGTCTGGAAAATCCTTCCCATCATTCAGCAGGTCAAATTGTAGAGAGAGGATTTGTTTCTCATTATGCCTGGCTGAAGCAGTTCTGTCTGGTCAGTAATGTACTCAGAAATGTAGCACATGCAGTTATAAATACAACAAATATTTCAGATTTTGGAAAGGAATT